AGCAAAAGCCAGTGAGCTTTGCCAGAACATCCATATATATTGGATGCAGGCCACACACCTGGGGAAACTCTCCTTACAGACTGGCTGATCACATCAGATCACATCATGGAGGTGATTACATTATATCACAAAATGGAGGATAACTGTATCATTACATAGCTGCCAAATTGTATCATGATATAACTGCCAAACCACTGAGAATCATGGCCTAGTCAAGTTGATACACACCCTTAACCACCACATTCCTACATTTTTTTTACCTTTCCCAGACTTGTCCTCTGAGTTACAACCTGGTAGATCCAGCTACTAATCTGAGCTTCAAACCAGTTCATTCTGGTTCGAACCCCTGCTCAGAATTTGCATTTCTGACAAATTCTCTGCTGAGAATTTGCATTTCCAGAGATAAACTGAATCATAATCTATATTTTAACAAGATCCCCAGGTGATTATTACGTGTAACTTCCTGTGAACTTGTGAGAAACGCAAATTCTCAGCAGGGGTTAAAACTGGAACAAATCAGTTCAAAACCCAGATGATATCTAACCATCTTTGCTAGCTCATAAGGAGCTTTGGTGGTGCAGTGGTTAAAGCAATCAGCTGCTAACTGAAAGGTCAGCAGTTTGAAACCACCAGCCTCTCCACTGGAGGAAGATGTGGCAGTCTGCTTCCGTAGACATTTACAGCCCTGGAAATCCTATGGGGTCACTACGAGTTGGGATCGACTTGACGGCCGTGGGTTTGATTTTCGGTTTTTCTAGCTCATGGCTAATACCCCAGGGGACTTCCTCAAATTAAAACCAAAACCTCAATTATAGCTGCGCCAAAGCATATACACATGGTGCAGCTTAAAAGGGGTTAACAACTCCAGAGGCAGCTCTGCCCCAGCATCAGGTACTACAAATCATCAAAATTGGCTCAAGACGCAATATCAAGTGAGGCCTGGTGGATGATTCCAAGAAACTGATGAGGATGACTTGAAATATAATAAATATGCCCCTATTCCAGGGCCTTTGCACTTACTGTTCCTTCTTCCTCACTCCATTCAGATCTCTGCTCAAATGGAGTGGAATCTGTGAAAGACGGAATTTGACAGGACTGCCTTGTTTTTCTGGGTCTTGCAAGTTTTACACCTTTGACAGGGCAGAAAACTTTTCTATCACTTGTTTTAGTGGAAAATATTTGAGTTTTCCTTCTCTGACAGGTTTCTGCCTTATACAGGTTCCGGCTTTTGCAGATTTTACTGTATCACATCCTCAGAGATGTTTTTCTTGATTATGCATGTGTATCTTGCTTTATTTTTCTTCATAGCACTTATCATTACAGATATGTGCATATATATTTGTTTGTTTTGAGATCTGTACGATATTATTTGTATAAATTTAAAGCACAAACATTTTATGATCTTCAGAGAATCATGCATATATCAAAGGAAACACAGTACATGCATTAAAATGGGTGCCTGATTGGGAATCAAGAATTAGGACAGAAAAAAAAAAAGTTGCCATTGAGTCAGTTCGAACTCATGGCAAATCCCGTGTGTGTTAGAGTAGAACTATGCTGTATAAGTTTTTCAATAACTGATTTTTTGGAAGTAGATTGCCAGGGGCCATTATTCCAAGGTGCCTCTGGGTAGACTCAAATCTCCAACTTTTTGGTTAGCAGTCAAGTGCACTAACCATTTGTACTACCCAGAGACTCCTAACCAGTTGCCATCAAGTCAACCTTGACTCATGGTGACCACATAATGTTTCGGAGTATAACTGTGCTCTGTAAGGTTTTTGATGGCTGATTTTTTTTTTTTTTTTTTTTTTTACAGTAGACGCCAGGCCTTCTTTCTGAAGCACCTCTGGGTGGACTAGAACATCAAGTTTTGCCTTTCATCACTTTTGGAAAAATTCCTAGCCTTTATATCTTCAAATGCTGTTTCTTCCCGGTTATCTCTCTCCTCTCCTTGTAGGACTCTAAAAACATGTATATTAGACATTTTCACTGTGTCCAGATGTCCAACACACCTATATATTTTCTATTATTTTTCTCTATATACTTTAGTTTTGACATTTTTCAATCTTTTTTTTCTTTAGTTCACTAATACTGTCTTCTGCTATGTCTAATCTGTTATTAACCCCATCAAATGAGTTCCTTGAGCCCTGGTGGTGCAGTGGTTAAAGGGCTCGACTGCTAACCAAAAGGTCAGTGGTTCGAAACCACCCGCAGCTGCGCAGGAGAAAGACGTGGCTTTCCGCTTCCATAAAGATTTACAGCTTGGAAACCCTAGGGGATCACTATAAGCCAGAATTAACTCGACAGCAGTGGGTTTTGGGAATGGATTCTTAATTTTAGATATTATATTTTTCCATTCTAGAACTACCAATCTTTTTTATAAATTCCAATTCTCTGGGGGGATTTATCCAGCTTTGCACCTATTTTGTGCATATTTTTCTCTATCTTCTGAGCATAATAATTAGTAATTTTAAACTCTTTATTATCTGTGGACCATCTGTGGATCTGTTTCTATTGTCTATTTTATTCTCTTGGTTTTTAGAATCTGGTCCTGGTTTTTGCATGACCAATAATTTTAATTAAATGCCACACATTGTGCCTACAGAAATGTAGAGACTCAGATGATATACTCCTCCAGAGAAAATTCACCCTTTTCTCTGCTAGACTGAGAATGGGGCTGATTACCTTAGTCCAGCCAGGATTGTGCTGAGTCAAGGCTGTATGGTAACCTTGGTAAGGCTCAGTCTACCTCTGGTCTGGCCATCATAAATTGCACTCTGCTTCTCAGAGGTTTTATGTCTATGTTTTATGCCTCCTGCCCCACATAGACCCAGAATTTGTCAAATGTCTTGAAAGACTACTGGCTGCATGCTTTTACCCCCACATCTGCCAAAGGCTCTGCTAGTTTTCTGGTTCTTCCACAGAGGTCTTCTGCTGCTGCTGTTGTTGTTAGGTGCCATCTTGTTGGTTCCAACTCGTACCTACCCCATGTACAACAGAATAAAACATTGCTCATTCCTGCACCATCCTCACAATCATTGTTATACTTGAGCCCATTGTTGCAGCCACTGTTCAATCCATCTTATTGAGAGTCTTTGTCTTTTTCGATGACCCTGTACTTTACCGAGCATGATGTCCTTTCCTTCTTCATGGACTGGGCCTTCCTGATAACATATCCAAAGTATGTGAGATGA